TGCAGTGTGCTGATGGCAAGCCCCATAGCTGACATCTGCTTTGGCACAGGGGTCACTGGAGCCAGGTGAGACGCTGCCACTGAAGCTCAAGTGGATCCTGCGCCGGGAGTTCTGGCCCCAGTTCCAGAACCTGCTGAAACAAGGCACTGAGGTGGGGGGCACACACGTGTCCCTGTGGTGCTGGGTCACAGGAGGGCTCAGGGGTATGGGGGCGTGTGGGCATCACCCTGGATGGCACAGAGCTGTCATGGTGGTACAGGCACATGGGGACATTGCTGTGGATATTCTCAGTTCAGTCAGAGAGAAAAAGAGAAAGATTTTTCCTAGGCTTAGCCTGGCAGAAATCTTTTTCTCTCTGACTGAACTAAGAATATCCACACACAATGGCACAGGGACATGTGGGCATCAGGGTGTCACAGGGCCACGATGGTGGCCCAGGGTACTGAAGCAGGGTGCATCACTTCTTGGCCACTGCTCTGACCAGAGAGGAAGGGCCAGGGGAGGTGAGGATGTGCCATAATTCATGTCTGGGGGTCAGGGAGCAGCCCAGAGACCCCAGGGGAGGGCTGCCCACAGCAGAGTCTGTGCCTGCAGCAGTGACTCCCCACGGCTCCAGCTGCAGCAGGAGCTGGGCTCTGGTCTCCAGCGGGGCAGACCTGCAGGGCGATGCCCCACCTGCCCCCAGGGTGCCCTCAGAGAGGTGATGAGGGCTCTGCCCTGGTGTCATCTCCATGCACAGGTGCACAAGGGGTACCTGGACGACCCACGCAACACAGATAACGCCTGGGTGGAGACGGTGGCCATCAGCGTGCACTTCGACACCCAGAACGACGTGGAGATGAAGAGGCTGAATTCGGTGAGGGGCTGCCACCCCCAGGGGCTCCTGGCCCAGCTCACAGCACGCCTGGAGCACCACAGCCACATCTCCAGACCCACATCTCCGCAGCACTGGGATTCTCTGGCTGCAGGCAGTGGGGGATGAACACGGGGTGGCACCTCAGCGTGTCCCCCAAAAGAAAGAGCAGGAGGTTGGGGACTGGAGGTGCTGTTGGGTGTAGCTGGCAGCACACAAGTGACATCTGTGCCCTTGCAGTTCCTCCAGGGCTGCGACCCGGAGCTGTGCATCCGCTGGCAGGTGCTGGACAAGAGGATCCCCCTGCACGCCAACCACAAGGAGCTCCTGCACAAGGTCTCAACCCTCCTTGGTGCCTACTACTGAGGCCTCGTGCACAGGCCAGGGCTCCTGCTGCCCCACACCAGGTTCTGGCTGGGACCTGCAGCTCCACCCCAGCTTGCCTGGGGGAACATGGCAGCTGCTGGAGTTGAGGTACTCTGGGCGCCTCTGTGAATGTATGTTGCAGGTCTCTGGGAGGAAAAGTGTCCCCTCCCTGAGGGCACGGGCTGCCTGGGCAGTGCATCCCAGTCGCCTGAGCCACCAAGTTCAGCCCCAGCTTGTGTCTTGGTGCTTCCACATCAGCCCACAGCACTAGCCCAGAGCTTGGGCCACACAGAGCCACAGGGCTTTTCCTGTGAGATGGTCCTTCTGTCCACTCCAACCTGCTCTTGGCTTCAGGGTAGGCACTGGGGGCTCGCCAGTCCCAGCTACCCCTCCACCAGAATATCCATCACTGCTCCCTGCTCCTGCTCAGAGCCCTGGCAGCTCCACTGCCACAGATCCCAAAGGATAGCTCTGGAGAAGGCTTGGAGTCGCTCCTGTGCCGCTGTACCCCTACCTCTGGTTGCCTCAGACCCAACAACATGGTCCTGAGCTGTGATGCAGCACTTCTGAAGGTGTGAGCAGCTCTTGGCTTATATACCTATGGTTCCATAGCTCTGCACAGGCCCACCTGCCATGCCCCAAGCTGTGTGTGATCCTGCTTGTGTATGCTGAGCACTGGCTTGTAGCTAAACTTCCCTCCTCTCTCTGAGCCAAACGTCACCTGCCTGTCCCCATCCCCTGTGCACATGGACGGGAAGTGGCAGCTTGCTGGGACACAGGTGGTTCGTGCTCTGTGGTTCCTTGGGCAGGTAGGGACAGGAGAAGGGCCATCAGTGTGTCAATCCCAGACATCCCAGCTTTTAAGGGGTTTTTCACTCACGTTTTCTGTTGCCTGCCATGGGGAGAGCAAGGCACAGTAGATACATTTTTTGATCATCCAGAAGAGCCCCACAGTGGCATGTTATATCTGGGACTGCTCAGGAAGGGATTTTTCCCCCACCTTCTCCCAGTGGATCAGACACTGGCCAGCCAAGGCTGCTCATCCCACGCTGGTGCACCACGGCACAGCTGCAGTTTCACCAGTGCTGCACGGGGGTTTGGCAAGGGGAGGGGGCTCAGTCTGGCAATGTATTCAACCCAGCTCAATAAACCATGTATTAAACACTGCAGGTGCTGGTGTCTTACAGCTGCTTAACCAGGGGCCGTTCCTGGGGGCCATGCAGGCTGCTTGTGGAGGCCATGCTTGGGCACACTTCCAGGATAAGCCCGATTCCCACCCCAATCTTGTACAAACTCACTTTGCTTGCAGACTCACCCCCAGGGATGGCTGAGTCACAGAAGGGTTTGGGTTGGAAGGGTCTTCAATGCTCATCTCATTTCAAGCCCCCTGCCATGGGTGGGAACACCTTGCAGCACCTTGCTCGAGATGACCAGCCCGGTTTAGAGCTGACGTGGGAGCTGTGCTCCGAAGTGATGGCAAGGCACCTTCTCCCATTGCTCCTCGACTGATTCTGCTCCTGGTCACCTCCAGACCGGGGCACGGCCAGGGAGGGACGACCGTGCCTTACAGCAGCTGATGAAGCTTCTAGACTCGCAGCCCGGACCGCAGCCACCAAAATATTGCGGAAAGCTCATTAGCAGCGCTCCATTTCTGCACGCCGGGCTCCGCGCGGCCGCTCTCCCGCAGCCCCCGGCTGTCCCAGC